GAAGTGACTCACTTACTAACCCCACACACACACACACACACACACACACACACACACCTGCTCTTGGCTGTGCTGCGTTAGACTTGTTGTGAGATCGTTCATATGAGCGGCGTACGTGAGGATGCAAGTCACGCCCTCCCTCAGCAGCTGGTCTCTGTAGACCTGTGCAGCTCTGGCCACATGCTCTTGTTTCCTGCGCTGCTCTGTGACCCACAACCTCCACCCATACAGCACCTGCAACACAAAACGACGCCAAGACACGTTAAACCACGTGAACCAGTTCTACGAATTCAGTGCTCGATTTTGCAGTGAGAGAAGAATGTGCAGGCAGGTGTTACCTTCGCCTGAAGAGTGAGGGACCAGTGCCAGAGCGCTCGCTCCGTCTGCTTCACCTCTCTCCGTCTGTGCTGCAGCTGTTAGCAGGAGGGAAACCAAAGTCACAGTTTAAATCCACTAAATCAAACCACTTATATCGGTCGGACTGTCTGACCTTGATTGCTACTCATACTGATGTTCCGGCTGAACAATTTGCGCCACAAGAAGCTTCTTCATACAAATAAAACAACAAGCCATTATGAGAGACACTTTTTAAAAAGAATAGTAAAAATCAAAGCAGCAGAAGCTGAGATCTCCTTACTCTTTGTCTCGGGTCAAGCTAAAAAAAAAAGTATGGATCCTATAATTTAAATAATGCATCTGTTATATTTTAAAATTTTACACAGCTCCTCCAGAGCCATAGAGGACATTATACAGCTGTTACTGGCTGAGTAGTGCTGCTCATGACGAGTACAGTGATCTTTATGTGAGAAATCAGTGCCGTTTAAGAGTCTGTGAAAAAGAATATTAACAAACCTTCACTCTCCACTCTTCAAAGTATGTCTGGTACATCTTTAATCTCAGCAAAAATAATCCCTGTCGTTTCATCACCTGCGAAATAATCACATTTTCAAAAAGCATGAATCATGAAGTCAACAGTGTGGCTTTATAAGAATTGAGGGATAATGCAGTAACAACCTTATTTTTCTGATATTGCAAGTGATGCTCATTCCATGCTTTCAGTGCTTTAGAAAGGAGCTTGGACTCGTGGTGCCGTCTGGCTTTTTCCATGCATATCCTCTCTCTCCGAGCCGCCCTGGTTTTCTTCCTCCATTGTCTGAAAGACCACAGCAGCCGAACTAAACACAGAAAAAAAATCTAGTTTAAAAAAGTGTGGATCAATTCAGGTGCACATGCCTAATAAACTTACTAGTTGTCAAATAAAAACAGTGATACAACGTAGACAAAAAGTTAATGTAATGACTGAGAGATAAGATTGGAGAGAGGCTAAAAGTAAGTTAAGATACTTATTTTTGAGGGGGAAAAAATTAAGGTTTCTTGTGTAATGATGGTTTTTAAACTTTAATTTTTCTACTTAGAATTTGCTTGGGTCTATATCATTTGAGTTTCTTGTGTGAGGGTCTCTCATCATCACAGCCTGTTTTGTATTGTGTATCTTTGAAAGTTGGCCAACCAGCTGTCAGCTGTAAGACACTGAACTACGAACACTTAACTGTCGAGCTGTAGGCGTAACACATTACTACCAAAATACTAGGAAGGTGACGTTGACATAAAATATGTATCTGTTAACAGAAAAAAGTACTGAAACTAAACCGCATGTGGTCATTGTGACAAGTTCTGTTGTTACCTTGATTTATGGACCTCTGAGCCCGGCTAACTGCTTCCCTCTGCTGGTGGCGCTGTGACACTGCACGTGTTGCCGTTTCTCTCCAAGCACAGAAGACCTTGATAGATTTTGTGCAATAACAGCTATGAGCAAAGCTGTCAACAAATAAATAGCTATGATAGTTTTTCATATGAGGCCACCATATAATATATTATAACCTTAAGTTGAAGGTGATGCTGAAAGTGGTTCTGTGCTCGTTGCTCCATGAGCCTGACTTCTGTCAGCAGCACTGCGTTCTCCCTCCAAACAGACAGAACCTTCCTGAGGAGAGATTATATTGAGACGATTGTCGGGTCAGTGACACAGTGTCTTATTTATCACGCACCAGTAGTTTCTAATTAGAGAACTTCAAACTCAAACTTCAGATCTTATACATAAATATCCGAGTTCAACACCTGAGAGAGTTCTGTTCTCGTTGACTGTAAAGTTCCTCAGCATGACGGTAGATCTGACACATCTGTAGGTGGTGCGTCTGTGAATACAGCAGGCCGCAGTTTATCAGCTTCAACATCAGCTTTAACATCAGCTTTATTACTCCAAACTTTAGAAATCATGCGATTATAAAATAATGATGTACCTTCCAGGCCACAAACGTGTGTTTGAGAAGTTTAGCTTCATGGTAACTCTGAATTTCCTTCAGTCTGCTTTTCTTCACTCGCTGCATCTGAATAAACTGACCAAACACACACACACACGGTAGTATCACTGCTTCCTTGATTTTATTGTGATTTTGGATTGGTCTTGTAGTATTGAGCAAACTAAGAAGAGGAGCACAGTGTTCCTGGGATAAATACAGCAGGTGACATGCTGACATATTAGTCCTCAGACTCTAGTTTGAATCAATAGTTTAATAAACCTTGAGTCTAAAGAACAGATGCCTAACATATTATTTGTAACAGGTGTTGTGCAAACTGGAGAGAGAAATATACTACAGTTACCTTTTTCCATTTTTCCACAGCCCATCTCATGCAGCACAGGTCACCCTGACGACAAGCCTGCTGCTCTCGATTTCTCCTGACATGCAAACAAATGTGTTCAAAAATATATGTTCAGCCAACAGACAAGCAAGTTCACTACTCTTACCGAACACTTGAGCAGCACTTAGTTTTCCTCACCTGTCTCGTATCTCAGTGCTGTTGTCCTTCCACTGTGCCATCGTCTTGTGAAGCAGTCTCTGCAGGTACAGACGGTCTGAAGCCGTCTCTTTCTCCTCCTCGTGGATCTGCTGCTCTGTCCGCCGCCTCCAGCGATCCCAGGCTCCCCGCAAGTGGCACCGCTCCTCGTGTAGAATTGCCTGATAACAGCGAGTTATCTGTCAGTATCTGATACGCAGCTGCGCTCTTAATCAACTGCATGCAGTAGACTGTGTTTCCTTTTACAGCGGACATACCATCCGCTCAGAAAGCATCTGCTCCTTGTGCTTCTCTGATTGTCCCCACCAGGTGTAAAACACCCAAGTGTACTGACGCTGCCTGATTACAAAGTGATCAAAGAAAACAGTCAGATAAACTCTGCTTAGTTTGGAAATTAACTGCAGCACAAGTACGAATCTGGTAACTCACCGATTATAGACTTCTGCCTTGTGTTGCCTTTGTTTATGGAGTCTTCTCTGCAGCGTAAACTCGACCCACAAGTCGAAACACCGAGGCAACGTGCGCTCAGCAAACCAAATGTCTGCACGATGCTCCAGTTCCTGCAGATAAACATGTTTTTGAGTAATTACATGCAGTAATTATTATGTCTGAAATGTATCCTTAGAATATCTGTAGAAATGTGTCCTCATCTCTGCTCTGTAAGTCATCTACTGGATCTAAAAATACCTGCACGTGTCTCTGTTCAGCAAGTTTCTCTCTCCAGTGGTGAAAACAGCTGCTCAACAGGGATGTGCTGTGAGGAGGAAAAACTATTCCAGTCTAAATGTAAATCCAAATTATGCAAACAAGAACAACTTTATATGAAATCTGCCACGTGTTTCTAGTTTGGATGCTACATTTTTCCCTCTAGGTCAAAGTTAGCTACTGGTAGGGACTGAGCACCTGTGGTAAGTCAGTGCCATATCTCTTAGGGGTTGAAAGCTCTTGTCTTCAGCCTCTTCCAGACGCTCCTGCCACAGCTTCCAATACTTATTTGTCATCTATTAAAAAAACAAAACACAGACATTTAAACCTTCAGAAGCTTTAAACATGTTACGTCAAGTATACAGTTGACAGTATAGTATTAGAAAGATGTCGATTACAGTTTGATGATAATGTTGCACAGCCATGTTGTTGTTCAGTCGGTGTGTTTTGTTCCAGATGATGTTACAAGAAAGTCCTTGCAATCCAGCACGCTGCAGCAAGAACACACAGTGATCAATACAATAAATTATTGCACTCTCTACTTATTACTTACTGCCGGTATATGCTTAATTTTTGGGGGCTCTCACCAGCAGATGATGATGATGATGTTGACTTGCAATCCTGTTTCTTTCATCCTCTTCTCTGCACAACGTCACATCTACTGACGAGCTCAAGAGTCAAACAACTTACAAGCTTAAATTACAAGCTCTTACTTTCCCTCAGTGGACTGCTTATGATGCTGCAGTTGGTATGAAAATGGATAGTATGTTAGTGTTATGTTTGGATCAGGATACAAGCTTTCCAGCGCTCCAGTGCTCTGCGTTGGGTGCTCTGTACGGCCAAATGCCCTGCGGCCTGCAAACGGTCCTCCTCGCTCCATTTGCGATGCAGCGCGTGGCTCCATTTACTCCAACACGTCGTCACCAGGTGGAGATGGTACGCACGCTGAGCCACAGCTAAAACAAAACAAAGAAAAGCAGTTGAATATGTATAAGAGGTTTAGTATGAATTAGCTTGATCTTCAGAGTAAATGAAGAAAGACAGGTTATCTATAATCACCTTGTGACTTTTTCTTGGTTTGAAAACAAGACACATAACTTTTCCAACGATGTAACGTTTTTCTTTTCAGTCTGAAGATGAAGTGAAGTGCAGCTTTGGATTCTTTCTCTTTCTGGCAACAGGCTGCTGTGTGCGTTTCTTTCCACAGGTGCCAGGTCTTGACAAAAAACAACAACAGAAGAATAAAAATAGATCAGTATTCATCAAAGATAAAGTTGACAGTATATGGTTTATGGGTGCTTTGGTGCATGCCTTTACCCTTCTCTGCAACGTTAACGCCCTCTGTTTCAGGGCTCGGTCCTCTAACGTATAAAACTCTTGACGCTGCTGCAGACTGCTCTTCCACAAGCTCCACGCTGAACTGCACAGGTGAAACAACACAACAGCGTTAAAGCCAATAACCTGCTAAGCAGTGTAGGTCTGACATTGTAGATACAGTGACCGTACTGCAGTGTCGTGAGTCTGTTCAGCTCAAGGGCAGATTCAAGCATTCTGCTCTTCATTCGCCTCATCTCTGTGAAAACCTCCCATCTGTCCAAAAACAGACGCAGCCGTTGCCTATCAGCTGGTTAAGGAAACAAAATGATTAATGACGAAACAGCTGCTTGTGATATCTAACAAAACACACGGCTTCAAGGTACGATACACTCTCATTGTGTGCGCCAGAGGCATACCAAATGATTGAGCTTTTTGGACTTGGCTCTTCTTTTCCCTCTGCAGCGACATAAATGTTCGCCAGCTACGAAACGCCAAGTTATACAGATAATACCTGAAACACAAAAATACATCATCAGCAGACATAAGCACTGTCTGTGAGCCGCTGACGGAGGTACAACACAGCTTTGTGTACCTGTAGTGACACTCTGCACGCATTGTAAGACTCCACTCCCTCCTGGACACCCACCACTCGTCCCTCCATCCTTCAAAGGCTCGTCTCAACACCACGCTGTTGCAGTGGGACCTGCAACGTGCAATGTGACCTCAGAAATCAGGCTCAGGTAGGACATTTGAAAGTGGCCAACAAGACAGCGATCCTTTGCTTTAAAGATCAAATGATTTATAAATGTTTTATTTCAAAGCCTCTGCTTTGCAAAAACAAGTGTGGCATGTTACTTGGCTTGATGAGGAAGAATTCGGCCAAAGGTTTTCTGTATCCATATCTTCAGGAACTTCCTCGCCAAGTGCCTGCAGAGGTTGAAAAAGTTAAACAAAAGTTTTACATGGTAACATAAAAGTTGCAAGCTGACATACAGAAAGTGTGCCAGCACCTTATTCTCAGTTCCTTGAGTCTTCCACCTTTGTTCCAGCTGTATCCAACTCTGTAAGGAACCTTTCTGCTGTGAACTCTGCGGAGTTGTTTTGTTTCACCACCAGAACTGACACTGGGTCGGGGTCTCCCTGGATCTGGCTTTCTGGCGTTACTTTGCATCATACATCCAATCGGGCCGCTGGTGTGAAGAACTGTAGCGCCACTACATCACATGTGAACTAAAAGACCCTTTGCAGTCTCCGTCCAGAGGGTGAAGACGTTGTTTGGGTCACTAACTGCCGCGCGTTTGTTGTTCCTTGTCACGTGAACCCGTTGGGCTCTGTTCCAGCCGCAGTTGTCAATGGCAACAAGCGGAGCCGATGCTCTGCGCAGTGAGCTCGGTTGTGGATGTTAAATGTGTCTCTCTGGGACTTTCACACGGTTTAATATGGGTTTTTAGGTTGGAACTGGGGTAGTGGTTATAAGACGATGTCCTATATTCAAAAGTTTATTTAAATTGTGACATATTTATTTTCGCTGCGCGGTGCAGACTAAAAAATACTAAAAATCAGTCAGGAACGTACCCGTGGTCCTTTCAGAGTAATGGCTACTCGCAATGTCACTCCCGGACAGCCCGTGAGGGCGGAGTCTAGCGTTTATACAAAGAAGCGACCGGAGACGGCGACGTCAAAGTTACAAATCGAGCAAACCCCACGACAATCAATAGCTGCCCCAAATATTGCCTCTTTAATGTTTAAAGTTTAATGTAAGTTATACCGCTACGAAGCAAGAGATATTTTTGCCACGGTTTATATAGTAATTTATTACAGTTATTTATCATGGTTTGAATATGAAAATGCAACACGGCCGGCGCACACGAGACTATCGTCAATTGTACAAAGGCGCCGCGGGCACAATGTAATCTTTCCTAGGACCTTCTTAAAGCGGTGATCAGAGGAAAATTGCTGCTACGACTTAGAAAACAGAGAAAGAGCAGACAATTATTAGAGCTTACACAGTCACCGTGTGAATTAACTCGTTATTTGGATCTGCGTTATTGTTATTGTGTTTAGTTACCCTAGTACACTGTGCTTTTTGCTGAAATCACTCACCCGGCTGAGGATTTGGCAGCGTTAGTCGCTGGGTGGGCTTTATCCCCATTCCCAGGCTAGTTAGCTAGCTAGCTCAATGTGCTAGGTTCGCTAGCTAGCTAACTAACGTGAACTGCCGCTGCCTGGTCGTCAGCAGCTTATATTCACCGCAGCAGTCAAACTGAGTAAGTTGGCCCTTTTTATTTATTTATTTTGTTTTAATTTTACTGGTTTGTGTAAGTTACACAGCTCGAGGTTTAGAGCTGACTGTGTGTGGGACGCTGGCGGAGCTAAGACACAAACGCCTGGGCTAATTGTTAGCGTATATCTTGTTGAAACTCAGTCAAAGACGATTGGTTTGGCGATAGTTTGGTGAAGGGACGCCGGTGTTTTGTACTGGCTGGAGGTTTTTCTTGAAACCAGTTTCGCTCTCAGTCCAGGCGCTACAGTGAATTAGTCAATTAACGCTGAATGGTTGTAATTGATCCGTGTCGTCTCATGTCAGCGGTCTCTGGCTGTTGTCAATTAAGTTGCTGATTAGCCAGCAGCGTTTGTTAAACGTTAAGTTAGCTCGACGTTAAGTGAAGTTTACTTTTAAATTGATTGTAATTGTAGGTTGAGCTGTGCGTGTGTTTAAGGCCAGGTCACTTTTCTTGTGTTTATTTTTTATTTTTTTGATTAGTCACTTTTAAAATGTTATCGGCACTAGCACGAAGGATGTCACTATTGCTTTAAAAATGTATTTATATGTTTGTTACATTGTCCAAACATATCAAACTGAAGTCAGTGAAGCGGCTAATGTCGTGCTTGGTTAACGTAGAGACTTTAACTTCGTTTCCAACAGGAACCGAGTCATTGTTGGGCTGGAAGCTGTTTGCTCTGCGTCTGAAATCAGTCATGGAGAAGGATGCTTGTGCAGAGCAGAAGAATAGCGATACTGCTGTGGACCAAGTTAAACAGCCAGCAGCCACAGCTCCTTTCAGATACACCAAGGTGAGGAACAAATATGAACAATGTGATATCTCTGAGCTCATACAGAGTTCTTCTGAAAACAAATTAACCAATTAATTATTGTGCAGGAGGAACTTCTGGAAATAAAAGAACTGCCGGTCTCCAATGAAAGGCCAGATTGTCTGTCTGAGAAATATGACAGGTAAGAATGAGACCACATAGTTGTACTGCATTAAAAAGGTTTTTGGCAACAATATTGATGGACTTTAATTGATGAATTTTGTGAATATGGGCCAAGATATGTGGTGGTTGTTTTATGGGGAAACAGGATTGTGTTTGAAACTTGCCACATCAAGTATACAGAATAATAATAATAATAATAATAAATAGGCTTTGTCTAAGTGTATGTGCTGCTATGTGAAGGAGCTAATGGTTTTTATTTAACATTTATTTTGAGTTAATTTGAGTAGATTTAAGTAGAGCCACAAGTGTGTGCAGTTATTTTTGGTTTCTTTCACACCCACTCAAACACGAACTTTGAATTTTCCAACTGAATGTATCATTTGTGTGTCCTGAATATCCTGAGGACCTGCTCATATTTAGTCACATTACTTCAGTTTTGAATGTTTTTTGTTTGTTTTTTTTTAGTTTGAGAAAATATTTACAGTGTAGCAAGTCGCTGGTCAAAAGAAATATCAAGCGAACGTGTGCTTAGAGAGAAAAATTATATATCAGACTCCCAGTCTGATATATAATTTCTCTCTCTAACAACTGATCATTCCCAGTTTTTTAGTCGTTTACTACTTGAATGATTTTCAACCCTGCTGTTTATCAATCGGAGTGATTTTTAGACATGGGATGACAGATTATACATGCAATACAATGAAAAGTAGCTGGTATAAAAAATAGCATTAATGCTCTAGGCTTACAGATAAAGGTTGAACTATTTGTCTGTAAACTAAATGAATGTCTTTGGGTTTAAATGGTGTTTTAATACAGTGATGGTGTCTGGGACCCTGAGAAGTGGCATGCCTCACTATATCCCACTTCAGAGCGTAGCTCTCCGGTGGAAGGTTTTAAGAAGGACTATGTGGATGATCGAGTTCCTTTGAAACGAAGAATCCCAGGTAAATGTCATAAAAATCATTAAATTATCTTACTGTCTGCAGGAGAGCTACTGATAAGTGTAAACGTTATCTAGAAAATGTTTCTGTAAATGAATTGCTCACAAACTCTGGATATTATGGCTAAACAAATATGTATTTGAGCTAGAAGATGATATAAATGAGGCAAACCGAAAGATCTTTTTAAATCGAGGCTTACTTTGGTTTGTTAATGATGTGACTGGCTGTTGTGTCGGTGTACTTTAAACCTCTAAAATGAGCCTATTTTCAAATCAGATCCCCGTGAGCGGTTAAAGGAGGATGATCTGGATGTCGTACTGAGCCCACAGCGGCGCAGCTTCGGAGGTGGATGTCAAGGCAACGCAGCGCTTGCACCCCACATCCGTCGCCCAATTAGCCCCCTGGAAAATAAGGAGAATGAGAGTCTCCGTCTCGGAGCCGCCCGCAGAATCGGCAGTGGCCGCATAATTGCTGCCCGAGCCTTTGAGCGAGAAGCCCGTGCGGAGAAAGAGAGGGAACGTGAGAGAGACTTTAAGGATAAAAGATTCAGGGTTGGTGTTCATTGCTTTCAGTCCATCTATAATGTATTTCCCTTAGCGTTCCGATGGCGAGGCATTCAGTGCATTGAGGTTGGCATGTCTTTGCAATGCCAATGAAAGTAGTCTGCAAAACCACAGGCACATATGCTCTTCACCTTGTTTCAGGAAACTACCTGTGGTTTGGAATTTGACTTGGTTCACTAATCCAGTGTTTTATATTATATAAAAGCAAACAATGCTACTGAGTAAATGAGAGAGTTGCTGCTTGGACTAGTTTCATCAGTGTGAAGTCTCCATAGTTTATTTCAAGAATCATTTAATCACATTTCTAGCAGTACGTGAAGTACAGATGTATTATTGATATTATGCTTGTCTTGTCTCATCCTTTTGCAGAGAGATTTTGGCGACAAACGTGTGTTTAGTGAAAGGAGAAGGAATGACTCTTATGCAGAGGAGGAGCCAGAGTGGTTCTCTGCGGGTCCCACCAGCCAGTCTGAGACAATTGAGCTCATTGGATTTGATGACAAAATCCTGGAAGATGATAAGCGCAGGTCCAAGCGTTCAAGGAAGCGGGCAGAGTCTTTAAAAGAAGGCACGTCAACGCCTTGCTCTTCAGAATTACAGCATCATAATGCAGTTCACCCCCATGTGTTTTAATCCGTTACTTATTGCATGGTATTATTTAAATAACGTATTGTGACTACTATCACATTAGGATACTTAAAATGACAATGTTTGTTGTCACATTTGTTACGTGCAGCAGTGGAATGTAATGGTGGACAGGCTGGAGAGCAAGATGGTGGTTTGCAGTCGACTGCTGATCAGGAGGTTCCCCACCCTGATGTCCTGCCTGAGCAGTCAACTGGAGACTTTGACTTCAATGAATTCTTCAATCTGGAAAAGACTATGCCAGGACTGGCTTCTGTAAGTACTGGGGTGCACTGTGTCATTTTGTTGGTGTTTTTTTTTAAAGGTGTAAACCTCACAGATAAGGTGACAATTGGAACTATTGTTTTCTTATGTTGTATTATAATCAGTGTAAGCCCGACAGTAGAGGTTTTCAGGTGTATCCGTTTATCCCCCCCCCTCTAGCCAGATACAATGACGAAGCACTTTTTAGAGGCTAGATTGACAGATGGGCACTGTTTTGACCTGAAAAATGATATATTCGGCTCATGGTTTTTTAATTGAGTTTTTATTTATTTATTTTTTCAAGCTAAGCATTACATTTGCAGATGCTTTGTCAGTACAAGATTACCTCTGCTGCACTGGCTTGATCTCACTGAACTTGCTCCGTGGTGCTGGGTATTGTCACTGAATGGTGCACTTTTTAAATATTTTGTCAGTGGGCTACTGCATGGGGTTACATGGAGATTAAAAAGGTATCAACAATCCAAATTTATGCCCATCATTATTGATACGTTAAAGCTGCTACTGATTAGAGAACTAAGTGAAACAGTCTGCAGACTAAATAAGACCGTTGTGTACTGACTGGTTTGTGGCGTTAAATCAACACAAGGTCAAACAGCAATGCATTCAATGACACTGCTCTCAATCTTCTGGCACATTTTGTGCTAAATCGATGGAAAACGCCCTAAACGTAAGTGCCACCTTCGTCCTTGTACTCTTCGGTCTGCCGATTGTTTTGTTTGCTGCTCTGTCTCACAGGCGCCTGTTTCTGTCTTGCAGATGATAGAAGACGTTTTGGGGGAAGGCCCTGTATCGGCCAGCCGCTTCAGTCAGTGGTTCTCCAGTAACATGAGCCCTTCAGGCAGCCGCTCCAGCAGTCTGAGGTCCACACCCCATGAGGAGCTGGAAAAACTAGCAGGTAAATTACT